GTTATACACACTTGTATCCATGATTGACAGATTACCCAAACCAGACTTTTCTGATGAGATGGTGTGATAGTAACACATGTGATTTTGGACATTTTGAAATGAAATATGCCAACATTTAGAAGATCTGTCACCACTCATGTCTAAATGATCAATGCATGATGTTACAGAATTGCTCAAAGTGCAAGATAGACAAATGGAGAGTTCACAATTTAAAATTCTACATGCCCACTGACCTTTACAAAACCTTGATTTCTGAGTTTTGGTGTAGTATTAAAGAAAATACCCACAAATATCTGAAAAGTCTATAAAATTATCTGTTTTCCATCTGCAAATACTGGAAAAGATAGGCTTTCTTCATGTACTTGAACATAAATGACATATCACAACATACTGAATGCAGGAGCAGACCTGAAAACCCAGCTGTCTTCTACTAAGTCAGACACTAAGGAGACTTGCAAAATGTAAAACAATGCTTATCTTCTCTTTTAGAAAATATAATTATTTTTTACAAAAGTTTTCTATTTATGGGCTCAATCCCCAGCACTACAAACTTTTTTTTTTTTTTTTTGCTATTTATATTAACATGTAATGGGTCTATTATTTGAATTAAATGAACATTTTTATAATTTCTCAATTCTTATTTCTAATATGTTTGAGGTATTTGATATAATGTACATAAAAATGGATTTTTGGATTCTTAATAATTTTTAGGAGTATAATAGAGTATCAGGACCAAAAAGCTTGAGAAGCTCTATTCTAAAGATTATGACATATATTCTGAACTTTTTAAGTCTTATCCCTGCACTTTATGCTATAGCTGTTATATGTAACAGTAGTAATATTACATCTACATATGTAAGCCTCATAATATTGTTACATTTTTTTCTTTGCACAGCCATATGTATTGTAAAGAAATATTTACCAATATATTTACTATTTCTTGTGTTCTTCATTCACTTCCAAAGAGCTGGAATCCAAGCCATTTTTCTCTTCATTTTGTAGTACTTTTCTTAACATTTTTTGTAGTTCAGGTATGCTGTTAATTATCTAAGTTTTCTTTTATCTGGAAGAGTTATTTCTCTATTTTTAAAGAATATTTTCATTGGAGCCAGGTGCAGCGGTGCACACCCACAATCTCAGCTACCTGACAGGCTGAGGCAGAAGGTTTGCAAATTCGAGGTCAGCCTGGGCAACTTGGTGAAACCCTACCTCAAAATAAAAATATAAAAAGGAATGCAAATGTAGGTCAGTGGTAGAGCATCCATGGTATGGGTACAATTCCTATCATAGGATGTAAAAAAAAATATTTTCACTGGATACAGATTTCAGAGTTAAAAGTTTTTTGTCCTCTGTGCTCCATTATTTCTGATGAAAGGTGAGGTATCATTAGAATCCCTGTTCTCTGATGTGAGTCTATAATTCATTTTTTCTCTAATTCTTTTTTAATTTTCTCTATATTTTCAGCTTGAAACAATGTGACTATGATGAATTGAGATGAAGTTTTCTTTATATTCAATCTTGACTGGGGTTGCTCAGCTTCTTGAAGTTATAAAATTGTCTTAACAAAATTGGAAAATTTAGTTCATTTCTCCAAGTATTTTTCCAACTTCATATTCTTGTTTCTTCTGGTTACACTAATTATACCTCTTATACCCTGAGGCTTTGTTCACTTTTTTATGATCTTTTCCTCACCTTCATATGTTCTTCAGATTGGATAATTTCTATTGATCTATTTTTAGTTCACTGGCTCTTGCTTCCTCTCCAATCTACCATTATGCATATCTAATGACCTTTTTTTTTTTTTTTGCAGTACTGAGAATGAAACCCTGAAGCATTCCCCCAGCCCTTTTTTGAGACAGGGTCTCACAAAGTTGCTAAGGCTGGCCTTGAATGTGAAATCCTCCATCCTAGGCCTGTGATTTATTCATTTTTATTAGTTTTAAATTCTAGAATTGCCACTTGTTATAGTTTTGACTTGAGATTTTCTATGTATCCATTCAGGTGTATTTTTCTTTACATCCTTGAACATATTATAAAATATTTGCTTGATAAATCCCAAATCCAGGTCATCCTGGGGTAGATTAGGGGTTGTCTCCAGTAATTTTTTATTTTGCTTTTGACTCTAGGTTTTATTTTTCATTTTTTTTCATATACCTAGTAACTTTAGGTTGTGTTCTGGACATTGTGGGTGACATATTTTATAAAGTCTGGATTATGTTTTATTTCTCTGAAAAGTATTAATTTTTGTTTTAGTAAAAAAACAATCTTGGCTGGACTCAGATCCCAAACTCTGTCTCCCATGCATAGAGAACAGAAATCTCAGTGTAATTCATTTATCATTAATTGTACCATCTAGAGTATGTCTTGCACATGTGAAGGTCAGGTATCAGACAAAAATATGAAAGAGTTTATAGTCAGAATATGGGGCTTCCTTTGTTGAACTGTCTCATTCCTGAGATTTCCCATTTACTTTTCACTTGCAGTAGTTGCTAGAATTTTATCTTTTGATTTTTCAAACCAACGAAAGAGTAGATTTCTCTTCAAGTTTTGGCTGGCCCTTGGATGGGACCTTTCCTTAGGCTAAAAGCTATAAAAACTAGGAATCTCATTCAGTGTCATTTCCTTCTTCAAAATGTTGATCTCCAGTGCATTCAGTGCTTTTTATATTTTGTTCAGAATTTATCATTGCTATTTGTGGAAGGCTGATCCAATAGAAACTATTTCAGACTTTTTCAGAAGCAGAAATTTGTACATATTTTATCAAATTACCTCACAAATATTATTTCCATTTTGAAATGAAAATGCCCAACTAAATATTAAAAATGAGAAAACATTCCCAATTAAAAATTTAAAATGTTTTGATAATTATAAGACCTGAACAGTTTCACAAAGTTTCATGCTGCTAAGACACTTGATATTTGATATCTGATTTCTATGATCCTGATGTTGCAGAGTAGATGGTTTTTACTGGGTGGACCATCTGGCAGTAGAAAAATGACACAATTCTGAATATACTAGCTAGTAGAAATATAAGGAAAAAATTACTTAAAACTTTAGGAATAGATAAATGATAAATGATATAAACCCAGTATAAGAACTGAGCATGTAGTTCAGTGGAGCACTGGATTTGGTCCCTATTATGGGGAAAGAGGGAACCCAGCAAAACAAGTAGGGATTTTTCAAATGGGACAAGTGTGTGGTGGATCAGTCCAGCAAAACTTGGGGTATTACAACCGGTGTAACAAAGGCAAATTTAAAAAGATCTACATCTTGAGATGGATAAAGTAAATCCCAGTAAGTCAAGACATTATAACAGAATATTGGGAATTTGACAATCATACCTATTAAAGGAAATGGTGCAGCCTATATTTTCCATCATCTCCAAATTCTAGTTAAGTCCTGTTTCAAGGTAGTAGAAGAGCAACACTACTTGTATAGCTTTTCCTTAGTTATGAACTATATTACCATAGACCACTGCTTTAGTATTACAGGATTTGTTGGCCTGCATGAATGGTCAGTAATATAGTTAGGCTGAATGTTACCATGTCTCTGAAAGATGCTGCTGCTACCTCTCATCCAATACATTCAATAATAAAGATCACGGATAGAGTGAACATGGAACAGGAAGGTTTACATAGACTTGTGTGTCTTTTCCAGATCCACAGGGATTGGTTTCAGGACTACCCCCCATACCCAAATCTGTGGGTGCTCAAGTCCCTTATATAAAATAGTATAGCATTTTGGTATAATCTCCTGTATAGTTTAAGTCATGCTAGATTATTCATAATACCTAATCCAATGTAAACACTATGTGCTGTATTATTTATGGAATAATGACAAGAAAAAAGTCTGTACACATTCAGTATAGATAGAATTCTTTTCCCTCAAATATCTTTGAGGAAACAAGTAGATTTCACAGTTGGTTGAACTGGAAGGTGGAGAACCTGTGACTATGGAGGGCCTGGCTGAACGGAATTCAGGAGGGAAACAGATAACGTAGTGTTGCAAATTGCATACTGGGTTGGGAAAAAAATCTGATATTGAGTACTAGGCAATGATTTTTTTCTATATTCTTATCCAGATATAAATTATGTATTCCCTGGACAGCTATATGAGCTTAAAAGCTTTATTTTTATTCTCACCCAGTCTCTGAGGTCTTTAATAAAAAAGAATCCTAATCTGCCAGCACAGGGACTAAATATCTATTACTGATTTGAACCATTTTGTGCTCATGAGTTATTATATTCTTTAAAAGTGATATGTGTTCTATATTCTTATAAACATTTTTCCTAAAAGAAAAAATATTATAATAAAAAGATATATTAGCATATATTCCAATGTTAAAAATCCTAATTTTGATAAAAAGTAAATTGATGCAAATATACCACAAATATCATATAAAGGCAATCAGCAATTTAAAAACTTTTTTTTTGTGGTACTGAGATTGAACTAAGCTTTATAATGTATGGTAAGCAAGTACTCTGCCACTGAGCTATAACCCCAGCCCTAAAAAAGCTTAAAGAAAAAGACCAAAACTAACAATCATGCCAATAAATATAAATTATTTGACCCACCCTATAGAAAGAGTTGCACTGCTGGGTGGTGGTGCACACCTGTAATCCCAGTGGCTCAGGAGGCTAAGGCAGGAGGATCGCAGGTTCAAAGCCAGCCTTAGCAACTTAGTGAGGCCCTACGCAATTAAGCGAGACCCTGTCTAAAAAAAATAAAAAGGGCTGGGGATGTGACTCAGTGGTTAAGCGCACCTAGGTTCAATACCTGAAACCAGAAAACAAAACAAAACAAAATGTCTTGCTAACTAACAAATGAAAAACAAATTCCATAATATTTTACTCAAGGAGATACACTCAAAATATTACCAACAGACAAAAAGTTAAAGGATGGTATTAAGTCTATTACACCAATGCAAACATAAGAAAATTGATATTGTAGTAAAAGATACAGTATATTTCAGAATATCCATAAGTAAAAAGGCCATTTCAGTGCTTTCTTTGGCAGCACATATACCAAAATTGGAACCATACAGAAAAGATTAGCGAGACCCCTGTGAAAGAAAGCCAGGCAAATTTGCAAAGTGTTCCATACTTTTAAATTTCTGAGCATATAAAATACCCTGCCCTCCCGGGGCCTCCAATCTCCTGGGAGAGATAAACATAAAAGATTTTTAAAAAGAGGAGAGGATTTCATAATTATAACAAAATCTTCCAAAAAATTCTAAGAAAAACTAGGTACATATTAGATGAAATGTAATTAGAAACTTCAATTCTTAACAAAATCAAGGAGGAAAGGTAAATAGAGGCACATAAATTAAACTATTCAAAAGAGAAATCCTGTTCTTCAGGATTTTTATTCTTCTTTAGGGATCATTCTTCCTTTGGAGAGTTTGATTAAATATATAGGACTCCTCTCAAGTAAATTTTGCCAACATTTTCAGGTATTCAAGAACTCATTGAAGCTAGTAAACCACTGTTTAGGATCACAAAAGCTTACACTTTTAAATACTTCCTAAGTGGTAGGCATCTAGTAAACATTTCATATGAATTTCCATTTAATCCTCCCATCAACCTTCTGAGGTAGATACTACTCTTATCCTCATAGCAACTTAGGAGAACAACACTATCTTTATCTCCATTTCAGAGATGAGGAGAGTGAAGCTTAGAGATGATATTACTTGCCTAAAGTTACACAGCCCACAAGTAGCAGAGCTGAGAATTACATCTTCCTCTAATTCCAGGTTTCTACCTTTTAATCCTTATGATATATTTTTTTTTCCTCACTACAGTCTTTCCATATTAATTTAAAATAACATATCCAAAAAAGAAGTGCAAACATATCCAAAAGTATATTCAAATCAAATTTTAATGTAGACCACTCATTGCAAAAGAAAACTTGAAGCAGTTATAGAGATACAAATAAAAAACAATTATAGAAACGTGTATGTGTGTTTGAGGGTGGATAAGACAATTAATGAGGTAGATCCAGAACCAAAAACAGGTATCGAAACGTTTATGCTTGATAGAGGTGAGCCACATATTTGCTTCTGAGAACATAATAGCCAGAGAAAAGAAGGATCTAATCAATGCTGCTTTTCCTGGTACTGAATATAGAAAAAGATCTTTTCTGGGGACATGTGTGGACAATATCCTCAACAATATACAATGATGATTTTAGAATAAATTTTAAAAATATTTTTTTTAGTTGTTGATGGGCCTTCATTTATTTATATGTGGTGCTGAGAATCAAACCCAGTGCCCCACATGTGCTAGGCATGCTCTCTACCACTGAGCAAAATCCCAGCCCTAGAATAAACCTTTTTTACAAGAAGTTTCTTACAAATAACTTGATTTAGGCCAAAGTATGATGTCAAAATATAGGAGAGAAAAAATGACTCAGCCCAGAGTACAATGTAATCTTAGTACAAAACTCTGCAGTGATTTAGATTGGGGTGAGCATAAAATATAGAATACGGTAAAATGAACAGACTGTACATACTCCAGGTCATCTATCTGACAATTAAGCTTGTGAATTTGCCGGTTGAGAGTTTATTCTCCCCGACAAGAACCTAGAGTACAGAAATTTCACATTATGTAGTAGGCCAGATTTATGTTCATGGACATTCAAGCAAAGGGTAAAACTTATAACTTTGTATGAAAATTAGAGTGTTAGAGAAAAGATGTCTCATTTTTTAGACTTTCTTCCAAGGTGAGCTGATAAAGATAATACTTAACTTACACTAATATGTAATTGTGTTGAGACATGGATGAAATTTGAACATAAATTTTGTTTTTATTAAATAAGGGATGTTGCTGCATTATAAGATTATAGAAAGCTGTCAAAGCGGTACTTGAGAAAACATTGATCTCAATATCTTAGTTTATAAAATAATGAATTAAATATCTATATAAGCATAGACACATGGAACAAAGTAATATCCTTAGATATGCAAGAAAGTTAAAAAAATGAAAACAAACTTGAAATTGACAATAACTAGTATTTAAAAAGTAAAAGTTCTGTCTAGTTGCTTAAAATATAAGTTAAAAAATAAGAAATGAAAAAGATAACATAAAAGATACTTAAGTGCTTTCTAAACTGAGTCTGAGGTAGATTGTTCTAGATATAATTATAAAAAACTCTTATCATTTTTAAAAGCAAACCCAAACTGATTTTGAAGAAAATTAACATGGAGATTGACATTCTTCTTAAAAATGACTCAAAAGTCTATTAGTAAGAAAATAGTTAAATTTGGCATATGATGAAATGTTATGTAGCCATAACAGTTTTTAATAGCATGAGAAAAGTCTTTACTAGTTTTAGGGGAAGAGCAAGGAATAAAGTTATATTTACTGTTGAGTTCTTATAGTTAAGTATCAGGGGTGATATTGCTGTTTTCATTAATTTTAAAATCATATTTTTCATATTGTCAAATTTTAATAATTAGAAAGGATTTTAAGATATAATAATGTTAAGAAGGTTAACTGCCTATAAAAGTTAAAACTATATATTTGGTGGAAATAAACCCAGTTAATAAATCAACCAATAACAGGGGAAAAAAATGAAACAAACAAACAAAAAGTTTACCAAAGAAAAACCTTCTGCAAAAGGTGATGGAAGGATTTCAAGTTTTCTAAGAATAGGTCTATTCTATAAACTTTTGGCAAAATATGCTCATGAGTTTAATGGCAGACAATGTCTATAATTTTAGTGCTAGGTAATATATTGTGACTTTCCACAAATTACTTTTTTATCCTTACAACACTACTATGGGCACAGTTAACTAATACTTTAGTATAAACACAGAGACTAAAGCCATAGAGTTAGTAAATGTCAGAGCTCTTTTACAACGCCATCTTGGGGTGGGGGGAAGCATACAAATATATACTTAATACTACAGATTATTAGTAAACATGGGTGATGTAAACGGAACCAATATGTGGTTATAAAGAATAATGGTTGCCAGGCACTGTGGCGTACGCCTATAATCCCAGTGGCTCTGGAGCCAGAGGCAGGAGGATCACTAGTTCAAAGCAGTCTCAGCAACTTGGCGAGAACCTAAGCAACTCAGTGAGACCCTATCTCTAAATAAAATACAAAATAGGTTGGTCGAGTGCCCCTGAGTTCAATCCCTGGTACCCCCCACCCAAAATAAAAAAGAATAATGGTCTGCAGAAGAACTGTGGTCAGACCTGAGTTTGAAACAGTTAAACTATGTGATCTTGGGCATGTTTTTTGATTCAGTTTTCTCTGGCACAACTCAGTTGTGAAAGTTCTACTTGGTAACAATGAGGCTCAGAAATGATACCCTAAAGTGTGGCACTTTGAACTGGAGCAACAGTCTCAGAACTAAGGTCTCCTTGACTTTCTCCTACCCCATCTCATCTTTGATCCTTTTTCCTCTCCAAAGCCAGGGAAAGGCTTTCTGAAAAGTGAAGTTCCCTTTTCTAAAGGAAGTTCCTTTCTTAGGTGTGAAACTGCCAGGAAATCTCACTGGCCAGAAAGGATTAACCATTACAGAAAGTACTGAAAATTAAATACCACACTTAAAACTCTAAGGAACTCTGTCCCAGGCCACTATCTGTTTTTCGTTCATATTTCTCCCAAATATCATTTGCTACCCCTGTACTATTCTCTACTATATGACACTTTCTTCACCCTTCTGAGAATGATATTTAGGTCCTCAACCATCTGTCTCTTCTTTGAGTTTCATATTTTATATGGCTCCTGTACACATTAATAAGTTTATATTCTTTTTCTCCTGTTATGTCTATTGCTGATTTATTTCAGCAGACTTATAGACCCAAACTTCAGAGAGGGAGAAACTCCCTTGGCCCCTCCTGTTTTGGCAGAATTCCAAAATCACTTTGCTCTTTCAGAAGTTGCAATAGGGAAGAGCCTAGGATCTGACAAGATGGCAAAAAAGGTAAGAAATTTTGTCTCCTGGATCTGCCTTTGGAATCCAGTTGAGCTAATGGTTAAGAGTCTTTTCCCTTTTAATTTATTTCAGGAGACTTGTTTGCCAAACCTTCAGAGGGAAGATTTGAACTTCCATACAGTTACTAGGGTAAAGTTGCTCTGGCAAAGACTGTATGCAAGCACAGAATGCATTTACTCAACAAATATGTATTGAACACTTAACTTTATGCCAGGCATTATTTTAGACAAAAGGGATAGAAAAGTGAACAAAACAGGCAAGAGAACTACTTTCAGAGTTTACACTGTAGGAGGGAAAAGCAAAATATAAGCATGCAAACAATAATTTTGCTATTGATAAATGCCATGAAGACAATAAAAGGACAGATATTGCAATCAGAATGAGAGAGAACCTCATATGAGTGATTAAGAATAGTAGCTTTGACAAAGTGACATCTGAGCTGAGGCCTAGATACAAAGAAGTCATGTACATACCTATAGGAGTGTAATTTAGGCAGACAGAACAAAATACACAAAGCCTATATGGCTGGTATAAATTTAGTATGTGTTTTGTGGTGAGGAACTAAGTCACCAAAAAAAAAGCCCATGAGGCTGGAACAGGAAGAGGAGAGTTGTAGTGACAGAGAGTTTAAAAGAAGTCAGGGGCCAGATCATATAAGGTTCACAGTGCCTCTGCCTCCTAAGATCCAACCGCTCTCCTTTTTTTTTAATGGGGGGGGGGAGAGGGAGGCATAAAATAGTAATGTGGAAAATTAAAAAAACAAAACAAAACAACTATTTCCCTACTCTGACATGCCACTCACCACTCAACATAATATACTTCACATCTGGTCACCAAAACATGTTGGGATTTCTCCCCACCAACTCATTCTCCAGCACATACCAACTGATGGTGCTATAATTTAATTCAATTTTGGCACAATATACTTAGAGATAGCATCAGATTCCACAGGTTGAGTGTTCAGTCCCACGAGACTGCCCTCCTCTTCAGATGCCAATCACAAGAACAGGTTGTCACTAATAGCTCTAAACAACAAGCTGCAAATTGGGGTTCCAAAGACTCCTTCCTTGGGTTAATTTGCTAGAGTGGGTCACAAAACTTAAGGAAACATGTTTACTAGTTTATTATAAAAGATATTACAAGAGATACAGATAAAAAGT